AGCTCCGTTGAATTCTCTATAATCTTTTCTTCTAATTCCCTGGAGTTTTCTGTTATCTTGTTGTATAAACTTTCTTCTAAATTAAGTATTTTATTATTAAAGCTGGCTGTCTTTAGAATTTTCTGCAATCTTATCTTCTAAAATATTCATTTTATCATTTAAAGTTTCTTGCAAATCCAGGGAATTTTCCATAATTTTATCACTGATTTTATCTTCTAAATTAACTTCCAAGTCAGTTATTTTACTATTCAAATTGTCTTCTAATTTTTGAGAATTTCCTGTAATTTTATCATTCAAACTCTCTTCCAACTTTTGAGAATTTTCCGTTATTTTATCTTCTAATTTTTGTAAGGACGAGTCAAGGTCACCTTCCAGCTCAAAGCAAAAGGTGTCAGGATCCTCAACTTCCTCAATCAAAACGTCTCTCAGTCTGGCTTGCAGAATGCTTTTCTTTCCATCTGTCTCGCATTCCCTCTCTTCCAGTATGCATTTTAATTCGTACACTTTCAAGTCTTTCAACAATTTCTGCGGAGCCATTGTTAGTATTTTTATTTTTCTAGTCTATCACACACGCCACACTTGACACCAATTGTTACGTTTTTCGTCGGTTCCGTGTGGATAGAAAGTCACAATTTATTTAAACACAATTTATTTAACACTAATTACCAAACAATAACGATTAAAAGAAAACTTAAAGAACTATTTATAACTTATTTACAATTTATATCTAATTATTTATCTAACAGCAATTTATTTTGAATTAGCGCGGCGATTGTAACTGTACGCGTCGATCGGTTATTTTCTCTCTATCTTCTTCAGGTTTCGGGCATCGCTTATATATGAGAGAAACAGACAATCCAGACTTATCTCGAAAATTCTTAGCGGCGTTCTTCGAGCGTCGTAGTATATTATTTTTTTATATTATTTGCTTTATTTTAGGCTTTCTGAATAAATAAAGCAAAAAAATAATTATTTAACTTTGAACATAAATAGCCCTAGTTTAAAAAAGTATTATTATCTTATTTAATTGAATTTAACTAGATGATTTTGCTTTCCATCTTGTTATCTTAATAAACTGCACTGAAAATAAAGTTGCAGAATAAATTGTTTGATTGTATGAATTTAAACCCAATTTAAACCGATAGTCTATGTTAAAAAGTTATATAATGTATTTTTTGTCTCTGTCTCTCGGTCGGCCGTGAGATCGCAAATGCGAAAATACGCATTGGCGCGTATAGGCGGCGCGTCTTGGCGCGTCAATTGAGCAGGCTCGGCGATCCACGCGCCTGGCGCGCGAATCGCCGAGCCTGCAACAAAAAATTTCGCGCCGCGCTCCGTGTGATTGGGTCGGCAGGCCGATCTTCGGGCCACGGCCGGGTGTATGTGCAGTTACACGGGGCGTGAATCGTCGAGCCTGAAACAAAAAATACGCGCTACACGCCGTGTGAATGTGTCGGCGCGGCGCGTCGATCTTCGGTCGGCAGGTCCTTCCCGTCGACTGGCGGTAAATTTCAAAGTAAACGCGCCGTGCGAGGTCTTCACCAGTAATTCTTTTAAATTCAGTTAATTTTATTTGTTACATAATTTATTTAAATAACTCCATTTAATCCAAATATACATAATTTGATATTAGCTTAAAAAATCTATAAATATCATATTAATGTTATAATCATGTTATTGTTTAAAATTATGATTTATTCTAAATACTGTATAAATGATATACTCGTATAGATAGATATAGTTTATTAGTTCTAAGCAAGGATATATAGAATAAGGATATTCGACTGGCCCAAAAAAAACGTGCCGTATTTTGTCGAGGAAAACGATTTCGTCACGACCAATGGGCGTCGAGTATTTGAAATTGAAAGCATATAAATTGACGGTAACCTATGTTTTTTGACTCATTTCACTGACAAATGTGATGAGATTGTTATTGTAATTTATAGATCCAAAATCCAAACGTTTTTTGAATAAATAATTTATTTTAAAGTTATTTCCTAGAGGTTTGGTTTGGCCTTCTAGGTGCTTGTCAGATATAACACCCTCCGAATTTGGCATTTATTTATATATCAGTCGAAAGCATACACTTAAATAAGAATTTTAAGCAAAAAAAAATTGCGGATGAACCACAATTTATTGAAAAATAAATAAATTAAAAGTGCATTTTTAGGTTATGGTGAAGTTGTATAAGCGTGTAATTATTGTAAATATGACGATTATATGCATTTTTATTAATATAAAGGTCAGAATTAATCAGTGAGAAGCATTAATAAGTCATAAGTCAAAAATAGAGTTGGTGATATTTTTGTAATATTTGCCTGATCAATTTACTCTTTCGATTCAAACTTGCCGCCGGAGCCGTCTGTCACCATTTGTTGTTAAGGATGTAAGCTGCCTAAGCATTGTTGCCAAAGTATTTCTTGTTTGTATGATACATAATACCGTATGATCGAAAAAAAAACGGCGTCCAGCTGGCTTGGAAATGACGATCGATGACATTCCCCATATAATTTTACATATAAAATGACAGCGATGTTCATTTCATAGCCATGGCTGACGCCGTTTTTTTTCGATCATTCGGTACGTTACATGATACAAAAAAAGAGTTGAGACCGAAAGAGTTTTGATTGCGTTGGTTTCAACCTTTCCGTGAGTGTGTTAATCTTTTGTTTTGTTTTTTATTTTAATACGAATCTGATTGCTTTCACTTGATTTTACGTGCCGGTCGCCGGACGAACAAATCCTTATACAGTAGCGCTGTCACGATAAGAACAGATTATAAGTTATTTTAAAATCAAGATATTGAAAGCACTCAGATTCGTATTAAAATATAAAAAAACAACAGATTAACCCCCAAACAAGTTGAAACCAACGCAATCAAAACTCTTTCGTGCAACTTTGTAGTTATAAATAGTCAGATCTCGTAGGCAAAATATCAGCTATGGGTAGGAGCAGTTCCTCAGACGATCGCCTTTTCTTGATTTTAAAATAATCTGTTGTCATAGTCTGTTGTTAACGTGAGTTTTCTTCCGACCAGCACGTGTTTTTTTAATGAACCTTTCAAGAAGAAATGAATGAATCTGGCAACGCCGACAAAATTTGGAGGAGTTTTCGCATAGAAAGTAGCCAGTTGTAGCAATAATTAGATGTTTATTTTTTTATTAAATTATGGATCATCCACACTTTTTTTTGGCTTGAAATACTTATTTCGATGTATGCTTTCGAGTGATATAAAAAAAAGTACAAAATTCGGAGGGTGTTATATCTGACAAGCACCGGCCTTCTATATTCTGGTATTTGTCTACTAATAAATAATATCTTATTTTGTATTTCGATGTATGGAAATCCGCAAGTTTTGTATCTGAAGCCGCAAAGAAATTTCGCTCTATAGTGAGAAAAATGTTATATCATTTTAGACGCGTAGAATAACAAAATTTCTTATTTCAGATGTTCTAAATGTGAGTGCTTAATGTCAGAAATTAAAATATATACTTGAAATATTTCAAGTTATACCCTTTGCCCTTTGGAAGTAAACAAATATTGAAGAAAGTGTTGTGCCTTCACAGAATTTAAATTGGCATTAGGAATAGATTTCCTTGATTTAGTAATAATATTGCTCATAGAAATTGATAATATACTATTTTATATTCACTCGTTCAAGTGCTGATCTATTTTTAAATTGAATATTTATGTAAGTATTATGTATAACACAATATAAATAATTTAAGGACATAAGAAGTTAAAATTTCAAGTGCCAATATTGATTATTTTTCCAGTTTTATTCAAATATATTGAAATTAATATGGAAACAAAAGTTCATAAATATTATTCTTAATAACAAGAATTGAGATTTGGGCATAAGTTTGAAAAGCCATGTCAGAAGAGTAGGATTAAAGACAAAGTATTAAGGTAACATATATTTACATAAAGTTTTAATAACACTGACAATTTTATTTGTTTATGTTTATTAATTAAAATTTAGTTGCAATTTATTTCATATTCTAATATTTTTGAGAAAATTTTACTTTTATACATACCTGAATATTATGCTGCTTTTTTATTTTAAAGTGTGCCGACTGTGCTGTTATTTTTATACTAATAATATTGTATACTGTAGGTATCGTATTCATATATAGTTATATATATATATATATATATATATATATATATATATATATATATATATATATATATATATATATATATATATATATAGTATAGATAAGATACTTACTTTCTTTCTATGCGTACTTATATCCTTTATAGTCTTTCTAAGTGCATATAATACTACTTTTTTAAGAGAAGGCAGTTTTTAATAATCTATTGTTAATTCCCCTAATTCTGTGTCCCCTGGTTCTGCTATACAACAATTATATATTTTTTTATCATTACTGATTTTAAAAGTTTCTTTTCAAAGAATTTGACCATATATTTTTTTTTCAGAGTAATTGGGCTGTTCCTGAACAATATTGAATATAAATATTCAAAAATATGATAAACTGCATATCCTACTAAGTAGATCAATACCAAAATTCCATTAGAGAAATAAGTTAAAATTATGTTTTACTTGTATAATTTTCTTGCTATTTGTCCACCATTATTTGTGACTTAGAAATTAAATAGTCAAAAAGAATTTAGTACCAGTTTTTATTTCCCAAAAAAAATAATTGTTAAATAATTACATATTGCTTAAGATACAGTATATTATATTGTGTTTATAGTTGATAATTCTAGTTCTTAGTTGTTTATAGTTGATAATTAACAATATTTCTGATGTTAGATATTATATTAGATAAAAAATTTAATTACCAACAGCTACCTACCTATGTAGCTGCAGATTATTATATTGTGTAGTAGGTACTGTATAATTCTTTAGTTCAAGAAACAAATATCAGTACAAGTATATAACCAAAAAAATGTTGATGCAAATTCTTTGTATAACATACGTACCCCTATGGTATTCAACTTTTCATTGTTCTTTTAATTAGATACACAATAAGCACATTAATTCGTTTATTAAACAACCAAAACTCTAACTACTTAAATTCACAATATAAATATCACAATAAATGTATAAGCTTTGATCAATTCCTATTATTAATACCTGACGACTTCATACTTTATAACTACTAATGGCTATCCTACTAACACACTAGCCAACTAATAATAAACCCGTTCTAAAAAAATACAACATAAAGACATTGTTATTGCAATAATATAGAAATATATTCCATGTATCATTAACTACCTATAAATACAATACCCACATCTTCTTTTACGCGAATAGTACGTTAGGAGGCAGAAATATTGCCTGCATTGTACATCATACAAATTGGCTAGAATTTATTAATATCCATTGCAAACATTTCTCTTTCAAAGGGTCTAAATGTTTTGTCTTTTTACTGTGTCCCTGTAATATGTTATCAATTAACTACCCAGTTATCAAATGACCTGGACAATAATAATTGTTTTACATTTTTTTCAAACTAAACTCTTTAAACAAACTATATAAATAAAATTTATCACATAACCTAACTTGCTGCTAGAATTTCTTTCTTGTTATTCTATGTTCCTGTATTGTTATTCTTCACATTATCAATTTCTATGAGCAATATCATTACTAAATCAAGGAAGTCTATTCCTAATGCCAATTTAAATTCTGTGAAGGCACAACATTTTCTTCAATATTTGTTTACTTCCAAAAAAGGTAAAAGCATATAACTTGAAATAATATTTCAAGTATATATTTAAATTTTTGACATTAAGTACTCACATTTAGAACATCTGAAATAAGAAATTTTGTAATTCTACGCGTCTAAAAAGATATAACAATTTTCTCACTATAGAGCGAAACTTCTTTGCGGCTTCAGATACAAAACTTGCGGATTTCCATACATCGAAATACAAAATAAGATATTATTTATTAGTAGACAAATACCAGAATATAGAAGGCCAAACCAAACCTCTAGGAAATAACTTTAAAATAAATTATTAAACCTCACAACCAAACCAAACCTCTAGGAAATAACTTTAAAATAAATTATTTATTCAAAAAACGTTTGGATCTATAAATTACAATAACAATCTCGTCACATCTGTCAGTAAAATGAGTCAAAAAACATAGGTTACCGTCAATTTATATGTTTTCAATTTCAAATACTCGACGCTCATTGGTCGTGACGTAATCGTCTTCCTCGACAAAATACGGCATATTTTCCTACATAGCCCACTATAGGGAGTTGAATATCCTTCTTCTATATATCCTTGGTTCTAAGCAGGGGGGTGACAGTAAACCGGAAAATTGGAAACAGTTCTGGCGCGGTCTTACCCAGGCAGAAAGCATGGCCTTCTAGACTGTCCTAGACAAAAATCTGAATATTTCTATATGATTTCTGTCAATTTCAATTACGGAACATTTTCATGCACGTCGGCGCCCTCTTCTTTTGTCTGTGTGTCAGCGATGTGTCAACTCCCGAGGCCTCTGGCAAGGTCGAGCGCCATTTTAATTTTTGCCGTTTAGATTTGATTAGAAGCTTGTTTATGATATTTCGGCGGAAATTTATAAGTACAAAGATGTTTTTTGATATAAAGTTCCTTGTTAACACTTTAATAAAGTATATATGATATTAATTACATAAAGAAAATGATGAAATCGACGTTTCTGCGTGTAGTAGGTATGGGCCATATTATATGTAAAAATAGGTAATATATTAACTGTTATATTTTTTTAGCTTTAGATCCAAGGATCTTGGGATATTCTTTGCCAAGGATTTTTCCGTATATCTACTTTAAAGACTGATCGGAGATTTTGAGCAATTGAAAGCAAGTTACACAAGGTAAATTATGATTATTGAAATATTATTAGCCTACATTAATTATCTACAAGATGAACAGAAATGCGTAATTACATATCACATAGGTACCTATTATGTATTTTCATAGCAATAATGCTATGTATGTAGATTATTTTTAAAATACAAATGAGGTATTAGATGTATATCATATCATGTATATCATATGTGTATCATATTTTTTATTCATTTTATTTTCATTCAAGTCCTGTTTGATTTAATTCACAACAGTCTTATGTACCTATATTTATGTTTTTTTTACATATTTTTTTTTTGATTCCAGGTTTTGCGTGGGTTCCTGTTGTCTTTTTCTTGCTTCCAGTTAGTTTTACGCCCGTGAAGCTGTGAAAACATTTATTTATCTTCAAGTTTCTGTAAGTCAGTGCATTGTTACTTTACTATTTCACTTTAACACAGCATCTCTGATGTTATTTAAATATTTTGATATTGATACAGTAGTTTATGGGTTTATAGCTCTTTAATTGTGTTGATTTGCATATTTACATTGTTCTAAATTCCAAATAAATATTTTTGAGTAATTTTGTTGTATTATTTACTACTAGAAAAAGAAGTAAAAGTATATTAACCCTCATTTTAAACCTCCTGAACAGCCCGCCATCAAAAACCGGAAACGGAAATAAATTTCATAAAATTGAAATTGTCATGTCAATGAAGTGTCTATGTCATGTCAAATGTCCCAGCCGCCATATCTGAAAATTAGTTACCCAGGCAGCCACGCTGTTTCCATAATTTAACATTGACTTGACACTTCTTCTTGTATTTATTATTTTATGGTTCTAAGTATAATAATGTCAAGAAAAATGGCCTATCCGCCAGAAATTAAAAATGTATTACTGGTTGCCTGCACAACCGCAACGTATCCGCCAGAAATTAAAAGACTTTTTCAGGCGCCATCTTTTAGTCAAGTCGAGAAGTAAGGGAATCAGACAATAGAATTGTCTGGTATGAAGAAGTACGCTTTCCGAGAATTGGGGAAATTTCGAGAAGCAGTCAATAGAGTATATAAGCCGGAGCCATCGACCACTGAGACAGTTTTTTGAAATTTGAATATACCGCGTGGAAATTGAAAATCGGACAATTTGGTGAAGGAATCTTATAAATAGTTAGTTGTTGTGTGTTATAAGTTAGTAATTGTGTATAAAGTAAGAAAAATAAATTCGTTAAGTATTTTATCGTGAGTTTAAATTAGTGGACCCACGGAATCCGTAACAATTGGTGTCAGAAGTGGGATTCAAGAGGATTTTAAGAAGAAATTAAGTGGATTGGACGATTTTTACACCGAATTTGGGAATTTTTATGGTTGGTACGAGACAGCAAGCGAGGAAAATGGAGGAAGTAAGCAAACTATTGGGCGATTTTATGGAGAATATGAGAAGAGAAAAGCTGAAGAACAAGAAAAGACTACGTAAAGATAAGGAAGAGGAAAAATTACGACGTCAAGAAGAACAGGACCGGCTTGAGAAAATGTTGGGTAATTTGGAAATTCGTTTCGAGGCAACATCGTGAGAAAAAACAAGAAGAACAGGACCGGCTTGAAAAATTTTCGAAGATTGGAAAATTCAACGACAACAAGACAAACAAGAAGAACAGGACCGGCTTGAGAAATTTTAGAAGATTTTTTAAAATTCAGCGACAACAAGACAAACAAGAAGAGCAGGACCGTATTCAACAGAGTATCGAAAATTCGGAACGAAGACAAGAGACCCACTTCCAAGAAGTCGTAGAAGATCTGGAGGAGCGCCTTCAGCAGAAAATGGAAAAATTGGAGATGGACCTACAGAAGACCAAGGTACAAGTAAGGACACCTGGCGTTCATGGAACTGCGAACCTCAAGGCCCCAACCTACGATGGACAAACCACCTGGACTATGTACCACCGCCAGTTTGAAGCAGCCGCCGCTGCCAACGGATGGACCGACCAGGAGAAAGCAGCGGCACTTGTCATCGCGCTGCGTGGCCCTGCCCTGGAACTGTTGCAAACTATTCCTGCAGCCCAACAGCAGGGAATACCAAACTTTGGTCGCTGCACTCGACAGAAGATATGGCGACCAACATCGACGCTCCAACTTTACCAGGCCCAGATCAAGACACGCCTGCAGAGGTCCGAGAGAGTCTGCAGGAATTGAAGCAGACTTACGTCGGCTGGTACACCTGGCATATCCAGAAGCACCGGAAGGATTTAGGGAGGAACTCGCTGCTCAGTGCTTTATCAGCGGACTGAGGGACAACGAATTAGAGAGGGCGCTGCAAATATCCCGATTTTCTACCAGCAGCGAAGCACTGGTCAGGGCGCTGGAAATCGAAGCTGCTTTTAGCGCCATCCCTAGACCGAAGATAAGATCGGTAGCGGTCGAGGAACAGCCCGAAAACACTCACAGAGGTTTGGAGGAGATGTGTAAGAAAGTCGACAAACTATGTGAGCTACTAATAAACAAGGGAGTCAGCAACACCCAGACAGAAAACCAGAGAAGATTCCAGGACATAAGGTGCTTTAGAGGTGGCAGGAATGGCCACATTAAACGGTATTGCCGCGTTCAAATGCGATCCCGTTCACCATCCAGAGAACGTAGGCACCAGGAAAACTAAAATCAGTCAATACTAAGGGGCGAGTATTGACTGGGGAGAACAGAGCCCCAAGGATTTTTTCCATTAGAAATCTAGGAAGAACCGCTGACAGTTTGGTGATCGACGGGAAAGTCAATGGAAAGGGAATCCGAATGACAGTGGACACTGGCGCTATGGTTTCGTTGGTGCGGGCTAACTCAGTGCAAGGATTGAAGCTGGTGCCTCTGAGAAGAAGAGTGTGTTTACGTACAGTTACGGGGGAAATGGCCGTTGTACGGAGAGGCTATCGTCGAACTGAAGTTAGGAAATTTGAAGTTCCAGCATAGCGTTTTAGTGGCAGATATTGAAGATGACTTCATCTTGGGCATGGATGTGATTCGTCAACATGGATTTTCGTTCGATCACCAGAGAAATATCCTGAATATCGGAAATGAAGAGTTTATGTTATCTCCAGACAAGGGACCAGGAAGAATGGATGTAAGATCAGCGGAAACTGTGGTGATACCTGGTAATACCGAGAAGATCGTATTCGGTAAAGTGGAGAAAATCGCTGGGTGCTGTGTTGGACTGGTACAAAGTAGCGACAAGAAACAAGATAGGTACTTAGTAGGAAAATCATTGGTGAACACCGACAGAATATACCGATCAAATTGCAAATGTTTTCCCGAATTGTGTCAAGATCCGAAAAGGTGACAAGATAGCCATCTGCGAACCTGTAAGTGTCACCGATGTGATGAAGTGTCGTCAGCTGTTACACAAAAGGCATCCCAAGAAACACTAAAACATCTAGAATAGCCATGGGATCACCTAACACCTGAGGAGAAACAGAAGGCCAAGCAGTTCCTGCTAAAAGCATGGCAGTATTTTTGAGAAGAACAACAGTGGAAAACGGATTTTGTGAAGCACCGGATTAATACTGGTCATGCTCAGCCGATTCGACAACGTCCTAGAAGGGTGCCCCTTTCCAAACAACAAGAAATGGAGACAATGGTAGATAAGATGCTAGAAGATGGAGTTATCGAAGAATCATCGAGTCCATGGTCATCTCCTGTTGTTTTGGTGACGAAGAAAGATGGTAGTACACGATTCTGCGTGGACTATCGGAAGCTCAATGACGTCACTAAGAAGGACAGCTACCCACTGCCACGTATAGACGACACGTTAACCACACTGGCAGGTTCGTGCTGGTTCTCCACTCTCGACTTAAAGAGTGGATACTGGCAAGTTGGTCTGGACGAGGA